GCGGCGGCGGCACCGTGTCCATCAAGTCCAAGGTACGTTTTTCTAGACCGCGAGCGCCCCGGTGCCGCGTTTGATTTTTTTCCGGTGTTTGTGGCGAATTGTGTGTTGGCGTGTGCAGCCCTTGCTTTTTTGTGATTGTTTTTTTTTTTTTTTTTTCCAACGCGAGGGAGGTGTCCCGTTTTCCTCTGTCTTGGGAGAAAAGAGGGGTCCCGGCTTTCAGCTGTGGTATGCATGCACATCCCCTGGAGTCGAGTCCTTCTTTCCATGCTGCTACCTGTTGTGCTATTTGCTACGGTGATACACAGACTCTCGGTGCCTTTTTTTTGTTTTTTGTTGGTCGGCCGGCGTCCCAACATCCTGGTACACTCCGCTGCCTGTTTTTGTGTCGCTTTTTTTGTTTTTGCAGGCTCGACCCTCCGAGGAATCGATGGCGGCCGAAAACGGATCGACCAAGAAAAAGAAGCACAAGAAGAGAAGAGGCGGGGAGGAGGACGGGGGCCCCGCGGCTGGCAGCCCCCCTCCCACGGGGGGCAAGTCGAACAAGCGAAAGAAAAACAAGTCCGCTTGAGCGCGCGCGTCGTATGTTCCACGAATTAAAGGATATGCCGAATAACGAAAAAAACAACTATTTCGAAAGTATGATACTTCATGCCCGCTGGAGATAGCTACCCATTCGAAGGAATGCGATGTTGGAAGCCTTGAGAGAGTTAGGGATTTGGAGGTACACGTCGGGCTTATGTTCGGTCTATCTGTCTTTCAAGGCCTTTTGCCCCTCCTGTGGAAAAGCAGCGATGCCAGCTGGCACGAAAACACTTGATTGCATAGTATAGTCCGTTCTTGAAGGAGAGGGGTGATCACGTCGCGTTTGAGGTTGTTGCAGCTCAGACCGCGCTGTGCTTCGTGTTTCTGTCGTTTGGGGGCACCGTCAAATCCGAGCTCGGGGGGGGGGGTTGCCAACATGCCTGTGTTGGTACACAAGTATGCTTACCTGTCTACAGTAGTACAGCCAGTGACGGGAAACTGCCATGCCAGTTTGTTTGTGTTGCCTACAGCCTTAGCTGCGAATCTTGCGTGAGGCCTCTTTTTCACCGCGAACGGCTGCCTTGCGTGTGAATCATGAAAAATTAGCCCTTGACCCATGGGGCGCAGCGACCGACAATAATACGCAGTGATTGCTAGTTGTGTTGCCCCCCACCCCCATAGCGGCCTCAAGAAATTGCACCATCCATACATTCGTTTTTGGTGGTCTCTTGTTTTCCTCTTGCTCATTCCGAGCGCTCGGATGAACGTGGGTCGTGCGTGTAGCCTCGAATCGAACAACCGGCATGTGTTTCGCCGCATGGTCACCCAGTTCTCAGTTAGGCAGGTGTTTCGGCGCTCTCTTGGGTGAGCGACAACCTCTTGAGCCACCGCTAAACCGAGGTAGTAGCAAGTAGATAGAAGCGTCAGGTGATGCTGACTGACTGACGGACATGTTGCTTGCCCGATGGTGCACGATCTGTGCACACTTTGTTGTTGATAACCTCTAGCTAACCCTATAACCCTGACCCTCGCCATGGGGGCGCAGGAAGGGGGGGGGCGTGAAGGGTCATACCAAGACGATCGTGCCAAGCGAAACTGGACCAACTTTTTCTATATTAACCAAGAACTCCAACAACGTGCTGGACCATGTGCTTTTGCACGTTAATCATCAGGAATGGAAACCAAGTAACGGCGACACCCCCCCCCCCCATTTTCCCTCGCGTGATGACTACATGGTGTTCCTGGTAGACGCTTCGCCAGTCAGTATCGTAAGAAAAGCACTCCCATCAGACCAAGACCCTTGCGCTCCAACATTTTTTCCGGCACTCCAATTGAGTCAATTGAGTCATATTTTACCCACAAAAAGAGACATGTTTAAAAACCCTCCAGAGAAAAAATTCGACCACAACTAGTGTCACCTTATCACCTCTCGACCTCCCGTGTGCTCGATTGTCGTGCTTCTAGTGAACGCAATTAATTATCAAATGCTGAGAGCCAACATCAAGAAGGAAGGGCCATGTCACAGTACTCACGTTGTGGTATTTTAGATAACTGCCTCCCCCTCCCCAGTCCTTCTCCAAAACTATGCTACCAGTGCTTTGCCTGTCGACATTACAAAGAAGGGAGGTCGATGTGCTCATATACAGCAGTACACTGCTACCATACAAGGAGGCCGGCCAATACATGACATGTATCATATCATGGGACGACGACGATATGCATAGGACTCCCTCACTCTTAGGCAAAAAACACGTCTAATCTCCCCACCGCAAGCAAACATTCGTCATGGTTATGACCCCTTTCGGAGAAACGGGAGTCCTAAACCATCCATTAGACAGCACCTACCAACGCTGCCCCCCTCTCCTCTATCTCTCTCTTCTCTCTCCGCGCAACGTGGGTCCACAACAAAAATAAAAACGCCTCGCTTCATTCGGAGGAGGAGAAGGGGGAGGAGCGAAACACAACAGGCAGTTTCGCCCCCCTCTTGATGCCTAGCAAGGGCCTGCCTCTCTTGAACACATTGTCCGGCGTCTAGAAACTAGAAGCTCTTTTCTACTACTGTACCAGACTGCTGTATTTTCTTCTCCGTCTACACCATCGACACTATAATCTTACTATATTTTTTATCTCGCCCCCCAAAACAACCAAACCAATCAGAAAGAAGACACGATTAGACCGGACACCGAGAGAGCGAGCAGAGCAAGCCAGAGAGACAAACCTACCGTTGCACCGCCGGCGTGCCACCAGAAAAAAACAAAAAAAGCCTGAGAACAACACGACCAAAAACTGCTACAAGAAACTTAACAAAAAAGGGTAATGATGAGTTGCGGAGAGGAGTCGCTCTTCTTTCTTTCATTCGTCCAACTCCACCCAACGCTGGCCGGGGAGGATAGGCAACAAACACTCGGCCTAACATTCTTTGCTCGTAAGCACCCAGTGAGCCTGACGGGCGGTGCGGGATGTGTGGTGCAAATCTATCGCCGCCGCAACCAGAGACAGGTGAGAGCAGCAGCCCGATGCGGCCTCATCACGCGAGCGGGCTTGGCGCCCCCCGTCCCTCCATGCGCGCGGGTGATTCTCACTGCGCCGAAACAAACGAAAAAATGCCGACAAACCGCTAACCGGGGGAGGGGGGGAGGGGGGGGAGGGGGGGGGCGCAACAAACGAACCATATTTCCGCAGCCCATACTCCGTGGCCAAACACGCGGCTGGCCCACACGAAGCATACAAACCGAAACAGAACCACTATTTCCCTCCTATTGGCTACTACAACAGATAAAATCACTTTGTTCATTTTATTTTCTTTCTTCGCTGGCCCCTACTACCGCGTCCAAAACCCCAGCATCCCCCACACCCTACAACCTTTCCAACACGCAACACTACTACAACTGATCGGGTGGGAGTGTGTGGCACGGGGAGCCCTCGCGGGCACAGCACAGCACCACACCGCACGCTGCTGTTGCTGCTGCTGCTGCTGTTGCTCTGCCTGTCTGCCTCCTCCGCGTCGCTAGCAGGCGCCGCCAGCCTTCTATACCATCCGCCACGTCCTTCTTCACACAGCAGCACGGCTCCCCCCCGCCGCCTCTCATTCGGCGATGGCCGCCGCTTTCGGCTGTGCCATCGATGCGACTGCCGCCACCGCCGCCGCCGCCGCCGAAGAAGAAGAAGGGGGAGGGGGCGCCGCAGAATCGGAACTCGGGGCAGCAGCAGCCGCCGCCGTCGTCGTCGTCGCAGCACCACCACCATCGCCGCCGCCGCCGCTTCTTCCGACCACAGCAGGGGTCTCCCCCACCGAGCCAACCCCTGCCGCAGCCGCGCCCTCCGCCGAAGGTGAAGATTTGCTGAGAGTCGCCGCAGCGGCTCGCCCGGAACCCAGGTCTCCGCCTCCTCCGTCCACGGCCGATGCCGCCGGTTGAGTCGAAGAAGACGAACTCGTCATCACTTCCCCGGAGGTGCTGCCGCTGCCGCTGCCGCTGCCATTGCCGTTGCCACCGGCGGCGGAGGCGGTGGCGGCGGCGGCGGCGGCGAAATTCGCATCAACAGCAGCAGCGGCGCCGGCGGAAGCAGCGGGCGAGAGCGAAGCGCTTGGCACGGGGGGCGCCGTCGCCAACAGCGTCGTGCCAGGATTCTCGGGACGGGGGTAGACAACGCCAACGGCGGGTTTGTCGTCGACAGCACCCGTGGCCGCCTCGGGCGCCGCCGCAGGAGAAGCTTGACCAGAAAGTGGTGGTGGCGGCGCGGAGGCGGTAGGACGAGAGATGCTCGTCGGTGGTGGTGGCGACGACGACAAGGCCGTGCTGATCGCCGGTGCCTCTTCATCACGGGGGTTAGGGGACACCCCACCGTGCTGCGTCGTCGGAACCTGCTCGCCGCCGTCGCCGTCGGAGAAGGACGAATTCCCGGGGAGTGATGGCCGCAGCCGCTTCGCCCCCGGCGCCGCCAAACCACCACCGCCTCCGCCTCCGCCTCCGACTACGTGCTCCCCGTCGTCGCCTCTCCTCTTGATCGCCGTGCCCTCTACCGCGGCTACCGCCACCGCGGCCAGGGTGGCCACCGAAGGGAACGAAGCGACGCGCGGCGGGGGACCGTTAAAGGCAGCAGCAGCAGCAGCCTGCTGGCCAACCATGCTCGGGAATCCGGCGGCGGCGGCGGCCGCGGAGGCCACCGCCGAAAGACCGGGGGCGGCAGCAGCAGCAGCGCTGCCGTTGCCGCCGCCGACGTCGCTGCCCCACTCCCGAGGGGTCGGCAGCGTCCCGCTGGCCACGAGGTGCTGTTGCGCCACGGCCCACCCGGCCGCGGCAGCCGCCACCGAGTCAGACGGTCCCAGTCCCGCAGAGCCAGCAGCCGCCGCGAGTCCCCCCCCCCCCCCACCCGCCTGCAGCTGATGCTGCGACAGCGCCCCGCCCTGGCCTCTGCTTTCTGGTTCCGTGCTGCCGCCGAGACCCGGCTGCATGAACGACGATGAGGTAGAGCCGTCGTGGAACACGCCACCCGGCAGCTGAGAGACGGCGTCGTGCCCGCCGCTGCCGGCCTGGCTAGCAGCGAACGCCGCGAGGCTACCCGGAAAGCCCTGTCCTTCTCCCAGCCCTCCTCCACCGGTTCCTCTGCCACCCGCCCATCCCGTCCGACCGCCGTAGTTGTGAGCCCCGAAATCGTCGTAGCCGCCGCCACCGACACCGACGCCACCGACGCATACGCTGCTGCTGCCGTGACCCCCGTTCCATGGCTGTCCGAAACCCTGGCCGGAGCCCTGCTCCCTGTTACCGTTGCCCGTGGTGGTGGTGGCCGTTGCTGCTGCTGCTGTTGCTGCTGCTGCGGCGGCGGCGGCGGCGGCGGTGGCGGGGAGAGAATGGTTGCGGCTACCGGAGGGTTGACGGTGCTCGCCGCCGCCGCCGCCGTCGCCCTTTCTCCCCGGGGAGCACGCCGCGGCCGGCCACCGGTCACGCTGCCGCACACCTCCTCCTGGTCCGGCTCCGTCGGCTGTGT